TGAGCTGTCTCCCTGTGCATAAGCAGCCCTTCTTTCTCCCATGATTGATCTCTCCAAGGAGTGTATTTATCTTGGGTAAATGTTCACCTCATATGCCTGTCTTTTGTTTGGCTGGAAGCCACAGGAGTGGGTTTAATTCCAGACCTGAAGGGCAGCTAGGGGCCATAGTCTCAGTGGTTCCACCAGGCTCTATCGGACCAGCAAACCTGGTACCCCTCACACACCCCCAAATGATTTTGAGTTTTGTTCCACATTGTTCTCCCTCTCTATTCAGGATTTCCTACATAGATCCCCCTCCAAGTGGTTGACAGTGGTAGCCTGGCACCATCTAGTTCTTCTGGTCTCATAGTTGTATAGACTGAGGATGGCATGGTGTATCAGTCGCTTGGACTAATTGTTTCCATGCGTCTTTGTGTTTCTTCATTCTTCTTTGCTCTGGATGAGAGGAGACCCAGTGTTGCATCTAGATGGCAGCTTGCAAGCTTTTAAGATCCCAGTTGCTACTCGCCAAAGCGGGAGGTGGAACAATGCGTTGTGTAGTGTGTTATGCCAATTGAGCTTGATGTCCACACACATTTTGTTTTGTGGCACTGGCTACACACCGTACAGGGTAACAGCTCTCCGCCCACTTCTTCCTGTGGTCACCCTTTCCCTGTGTCCTGAGCTCTGCCTGCCTGCCTCCCTGCCTTTCTCCCCGTGCCAATGCTGCCTTTCTGCGCTCCCTGGTTGACCATCCCAGGGAGTACATCTCCCTCTGGTGTGTGTTCCACTGGTAGGCCTGGCTGTCAGCTGCCTCGGTATATTTTCAGTTTCTGTTTCCTCAAACAGGCTGTAGCTTTCCAACACCGTTTCATGGAACAGTTGGAAATCAGCTTGGGAAAATATAAAAGACGTAATCTGTTCATTTTCAGGGCTTTACGCTGTGACGCAGAGATGTAACAATGATGCATCCTTTTCTGTATCCAGCTCCGGAAGTACCGAGAGCAGTCTGTGTGCCAGAGACCGCGCTGCCACGCGGCTGAGCCAAACTGGGAACCAGGTTTATACACACGTTCGTTCCCCGTAGTGACAGTGGGAGACCGGGGGACACCCCGACAAGCCCTTGGCCCAGCTTCGCGGTGAGGCCGAGCCCGCACATCCGGGGCCTTCCATCCCCTCGGCTGGGTGCTCGTGCCCCCTCTGGTGGGTGTCTGTCACATCCCTGGCCGCGGAGGAGCCCGCCCCTTCCAGAGGCGCGGAGCGTGCTCATAGGGTGGACCGAGTGGGACGTAACCGGTAGGACCGAGGTGTCCGGCACAGCCCTGGACCCACAGGGCCGGGCGGAGTGCCCTCAGGACGGAACAGCGGCCCCGTCTGCGGTTCATTTGTGCAGGGAGGCGACTCCGTGCGTTGTCCTTAGAAAGTACACGCGTTGGGAGCATTTTCTCCCATAGAAGCGCTCTTGGCTGTTGAAGGAAACATGCTAGTGTCTATGTCGTTTGTAACGTGTAACAACATCTGTTCTATAAGGAAACGAACAGAAAGAACATACACATTAAAGGCAGGGCTTAATCGGTTGTCTCTCAGGACTTCTGGGAACACGTACCGTGAGCCGTGGCCGGCAGAGGTGTGGGAGATCACGTGGGTGTGGCAGGCAGTGCCCCGGCGCCGCGGGCCTGGTGACTTCGCAGCGATCAGCGCCCCGTGTTTGTTGCAGATGGTGGTGCCGTGTGTTCTCCCGGGAAGGTTTACTGGGACCTGACAAGAGGGGTGTGCGTCGTCAAACCCTGCGTCATGTGGGGGCAGGGAGGAGGTCTCTGTCAGGATGTAGTGCGTGTAGGGGTGACTGGTCATGGCCGTCTCAGTGTAAGCATCGAGTATGCGCAGGCAGTCCCCAAAAGCATGCCAAAGCCATTCACTGGGCACAGCAGGCCTTGGTGGAAATTTGAGTTTATAGAGAGTCAGTGACGCGTGGCGCACTGCGGGTGCGCGTGCGCGCGTGTGGCCGGACAGGGAGCGGAGCCCGGGAGCTGCGTGTGTTTTTCAGCTGTCCCCGTCTTCTTGTCCTGATTCATGCAGCAGCAGCCTGTAACCTTCCAGGGAGGAGACTCCGTGGAGGACTCAGAGAGGAGGTGCTCTACTGCCGTGGGTGGGTGACAGTCAGCGTTCTCTGTCCAGAGAGCTTGCTACCTCATGTCCTTTTCCTTGAGGCATTGCAGATGCCCGAAGCCAGTGAACTAACTAGCTGGGTCACAGAAATCTCGGGTCTGGGCCAGTGTTGGGTCCCCTTTCTCCCCTCCCCAGTCCCAAGTCCGCACACACCACCTCCATTTCCTTAACGCTTACAGCTCTCTTTGAATCCTTAACACCGGTCGAACTTTTTCATCTTCTCCATTAATTTAACATGTTTCAGATTAAAGCATTTTATTCTTTTAATTCTCTAGGGAAAGTTTATCTTGAAATTGAAGTGCAAAGCATAGCTAACACTGTAGCTATGTTGTCCCATTAGAGGGCTCACCGTGCAAACTCACTCCCCGACCGTATTGTTAGTTGGAAATCTGTGAGTGATAGCCTTTTTCACTACACATAAAATAATCTGAGTAATTTTATTTCTTCTTCATAACGTCAGAAATAGAACTTTGGTGACTTCTCCAAAATAAGCCAATGCTTATTATCTAGAATCAATGTTTATTATCCCAAAATAAGTCTACTGTTTGTTGTAAAAGCAAGGGGAACATATGGTTTCAAGGTAATTGAAGTGGCAGAGAATCCATATAGTTAATAAAACATTGATTAGTATTAAACGGAGTTTAGGAAATAACCCAGCCGTTCTGAAACACGCCGTCACTCCACGTGCACCGAGTACAGTTGCTGCCCATTGGAAGTCATCAAGTCATGGTGACAATGCTAATTGTAATTCAGTCATTGATTCCTCCCATGAACGTCTGTGCCGAGTACTTGTGAGTAATCCTGTCGAAACTTATGAGGGACCTTAGCCTCGTTTCACAACTGCATCACCGTAATTGCCATTCCATCACCAGAAGTCACTGATCACCCCAAATTATTCATTTCTGCCACCTGAGAAGAATAGCAGCCTGTGACTTTTGGGGACTGCCCTGACACTTACCAGGAGGCCTTGGGATGGCGAGCCGCTGGCCAGGCGCTCACCACGAGGTCCTGCCATCGGTCCCCTGTTGGACATGGGCACAGACAGAAACAAGGGCACTTGAAGTATGCAGAAACACCAAGTGCACCCTCTCCGGGCTAATGCAAGCCAGTGCTCCTGCTCTGCCCCTAGGGCTCACCCTAAACCCCATCTTCCCCCCTTAGGTAGGATGGAGACACCCAATGGCAGGATCAGCCATGCTTCCGGGCAGGGTCCAATCAGAGCAAAGCCGCGCTGCCCCCTGGCCCCCTGGCCCCCAATATCATCTCTCCCAAGTCCAGAACTGTGAGTCCCAGTAAGCACCCTCCTCCTAGCCTTCCTCCTCCCTCACCTCAAGGAGCAGTAACCCAACTCAGTCAGTTACTGCTGTGTTCCTTGTGGTCTTCGGAGGAGGGCGCTGATGCAGCCATAGCCCAAAATTGTGAACACTGGCCTCTTCGCACCCGTGTCAGCGGGCTGTGTGAACTGTGCCATCCGGCCCCGATGTCAGCACATTGTTACCCAGGTCTCTGTACTCGGAATTTTGATTCTCAGCAGGCCATCCAAACCCACAAGTATTTTTTTTAACATTCTATTTTTTAAAATGTATTTGATGACTCGTTCCCTTCTCAAATATAAAACATGTGTACCTCCCCATTCTAGCTTCAGGACTGGTCTGCCATCTCCACAGAGTAAAGCTTAGGGCTATAAGAGAAGCCGGGTCTTGTAAAGATTCCTTTTACCAGGCTTGGGGGTTCTCTGCAGATTTTAGACTAGCTCGCAAAGTCGTGGCCAGTAAGATCCCTGTCCTGCAAAAACACCCACGGGGTAATTCTTTTTCAACGGCACCTTGCCGATTCTAAAAGGTAGATAAACCTTCATTTTCTCTGAATCATCACTGTAGATGCCGTGGGGTTGTCAAGGACAGTCGGTGTGTCTGTGCCCCACAGGGACGCAGGGACAGTGGTCCTAGCCATTTGCCTGGGGCCTTTATAGCCCTCACTTGATCCTGTATGTACCCCTTGCTCATTGTCATTCACCCATATCCTTGCGTCACCAGTGACTGGTGAGAGTATCTTTACCAGCCAAGGTGCATCCCCACACCCAGTGAGTTTAGAGGGTTCAGTCGCCATCCCCACACCCAGTGAGTTTAGGAGGTTCAGCCCCTGTCCCCACGCCCCGTGACTGGAAGGGTTCAGCTCTCTTCCAGACAGAATCCACGAGGTCACCGGAGGCACTGCTCTTTCTCACGCTGTTCGGAAAGGCGACTGAGACTTCCAAATGGCCGGGATCTCATGGGAGACCCGCTGGTTTGTGGGTGTGCCTTGTGTAAACATTTTAGTATTGGGTCCCATCCAGAGCCCCCCAAAGGGATGAAGGCATCACCCCCATCTCTCTCCCTGTGCTGGGTTAACTGGGAGTTCTCTCTGCGGCTGGCTGGCCCTTCTTGGGCCCCAGCGAACCGACCCACAGGCTGCGGGACTGAAGTTGGGCTGGGAGGCTGATTTCCAAAGGGCAGCCTGGGAAGGCGGCGGGCTGGGGTGCAGCTTTCGGGCTGAAGGACGCCGCGAGGCCCTTCGGTAAACGAGCAGGGAGCCCGGGCCCATGGGGCGCGCGTCCTGGAGGCATCGGAGCAGAGCAGGGCGCTCGCGAAGGCGCCCTGGACCCGGCGGGAGAGTTTCCGGGTGAAAGTTCACAGAGCGCGCCGCTCGGCGGGGACTCGGTTCAGCCGCTGAGCGCTGCTCGGCGTCGCGACCCGATTCCCTTCTGGCCGGCGTCCTAGTCGTTGCTTGGGTATTGGAGTTACTGCTCTTTGCAGAAAGAAGTCACCGCCATTTTTCTTGAGTGTGACCGTCCTCGTTGGCAAATGCCCCAGGCCCGCGTTAAGGGCGAACTCCCGGGCCCTCGAGGTCGCCCGGGAAGACGCTCCCGAGGTCTGGGCCGTGTCCGCAACCACACGGTCCCCGAAGCGGGGCGCGCACGGCCTTCTGCTCTCCCCGCTCGAGGGCCCGGCGCTCGGCGCCCGGGTTTGGCCCCAGGGGGAGCCCGAGCACCGGCCGGGCGGCCGGTGGCTGAAGGGTTAAGGCGGCGGCGCGGGCGCGCGCACGGGCCCTCCCCGAGCACAAAGGGGAGCCTGGGGGCTGGGGACCCGAATCCCTCGTAATCGGACCGGGGCCCGGGCGTAATGACCCGGGCGACCTAGACTGAGATTGATGAGCCGCGGCCGGCGGTCCACCGCCTGAGCCCCGCACGGGGGAGCCGCGCGCTCCGGGGCCGGGCTTCGGAGCGCGCCGGCCGCCGGCAGAGCTGACCCGGGCCCGGCCACCTCCTCCCGGGGCCGCCGCAGACGCGGGGTGCGAGGCGCCCGCAGGGACCTGCCGCGGACGGTCACTGTGATTTTTAAAATGTGACTAATTTTACTCTGGGGACCGGGCCGGCGGGGTGGGGGAGGACGGAGACCGCGTGCGCCGGGCCCGGAAAGCTGGGTATTGGCGTTACTCCGGATGCGAGTCCGACACGGGGGTCCCTGCGTGCCAGCCCTGTGTCCCGATGGTGGGGTTCCAAGCAAGCACCCCGCTTCCCAGCAGGCACACTTGCTACCAACCCTTTCCCGAAGCTTCTCCAGCTTCCGAAGTTGGGGCACTTTCCTGCGAAGCGCTTTGTGCGCCTCCGTTCCCGGTCACTTGCGGCCGCCGTGGCCTGAGGAGCGCGCTCACCAGGGACCGGCGCCGGCGAGGAAGGCGCGCCCGCGGTGTGCGTTCGCGGCGGGGAAGCGTGTGTGGCCGGCGCGCCCGCCGCGGAGGCTGGGGTGGCATCGGCCCGCGGCTGAACGCGAAGCCCGCAGGACAATGAGACGCGTGCACCGAGGTCCTGGGGCAGCGCCGCCGCGCAGTGCGCCGCCTCCCGGGCGGGCGGCTCTTCGGGGGCCCCTCGGGCAGCCTGCGGTGGCTCTGGGAACCGGGCCTCCTTCCCCCGCGGTTCTGCTCTGCGCAGCCGGGTCCTGGCAGCGCCCGGGCGGCCGTGTGCGATCGCCAGGCGGGGGCTGGAGGCTCGCCTGTGGAGGGTCACTTACTCGGTGTCCTGCCCTCGCGGGTGTTTACGGAGCTCTTTCCCGGGTCTCCTTAGGCGGCCTGCGGAGACGCCCACCCCCGCGGCCTCTGCCGAGCGCTGGCCGCTCGGTCGCGACTGTGGTTATTGGCGGAGCGCAGGGGACCCTTGTGGGGGGAGCGGGAGAGGCCGCGGCCGGTCTGACGCCAGCCCTTGTCTTGCAGGCCCGGTGGTTCTGAGCACCCCTGCCCAGCTCATCGCGCCCGTGGTGGTGGCCAAGGGGACGCTGTCCATCACCACGACGGAAATCTACTTCGAGGTGGAGGAAGACGACGCCGCCTTCAAGAAGGTCGACACGAAAGTGAGTTCAAGTGACTCCCTGCACGACAGTCCCTCCCGGCGGCTTTGGGGCAGGAAGTGGTGCGCGTTTTCCTGGGTTTTAAATGACAGTGGGGGGAGGGGAGCGTGTTCCCGGCCTTCTCCTGGAGGCTGCGTGGGGGGAAATCACAGCCCTCTTCCCTGGGACCTAGAAGGGGGTGATGAATTTCAGCCCTGCTTCCTGGCGCCCCAATTAACTGCCCTGCCCGATGGTCCTTTGTGTGCCGCTGGCAGGCTTGGGGGTCCAGCCAGTCCCACCAGGTCCGTGGGGTCCAGCGCCTTGGCCTTCTGAGAAGAGGATCGGGCAGGGCCTTATGAAATTTTTTTACAGAGAGCGTTGTTAATGCCCCCAAGTGTAGCTTGCAAAGTGAACTATTATTTATTGAAAGATTAGGAGGAAACTCGGGGCGCAGAGGGAGCCATTTAGATATCAATGAATCTCCGTTATTAAATCCATTTTTCAGCTCCTGAAATCAGAATGGGTTTTACATGGGGATTTAAGAGGAAGAGAAAGTGGTTGTCTAGGAAACTTGGATTTAATGGCCCACCCGCTTTGGTAGCCATCCACCCTGTAAGGTGATGTTCTTGGTGGGCGTCCCGTTGGAACACGCATGCTGGAGCCATTTGCCATGCATAACTGTTGGTTTACTAAATCTCTGTGGGTGGCATCTGAGTGACTCTTATCCCATGGCATCTTCTTCCATGACCAGTTTTATTTTCGTTTTAACTTTCACGTCACTTGGAGTCGGTCACTCTGTTCTGGGGCTGAGAATTGAGGAGGGCGGTGCCCCGCCAGACACGAAGGACCACTTGGCAGAGATCTTCGGGAGAGCTGTTTGTCGGGGGCCCTAGTTCTGAAATCGCCAAAGACTGTTGTGTCCCCCCTGAGATCCGGGATCCGGACTTGGCCATTTCTGTTTCACTTCTCTCTGGGATAAGGCATGTGAAAGAGCCTTGGTCAGCAGCGGGTACAACTGGGAAACCATCCCCTAAACTCACTCACGGAAGGCCCTGGGAGCTCAGCCTCCCAGCACTTGTTGACGATTAAAAACACTCCGTAAGAGAGTCTGAGGCCTCTCCCCGGCCCCTAACTGCAAAATAGGCGAATTTCAGACGCGGGAGCTCACTTACAGCATGTTTGATGTGAAATAACGAAGAGACGGTTTGTCTTACGTTGTCTCGCTCGCTTGCTGTGAAGTGAGAGGGAACTTGGGGTCTCTGCTGAATGTTTGTTCTGCTTCTGGGACCCTCAGTGCATGAAAGAATGGTCCCCCAAACGGGTCAGAACCGGGCTGCAGTGCCCAGTGCACTTCATCTGCATAAATGAACCACAGGACTTCCCTTTGGGCTTCGCGTGTGTCCTCTAAGGGCCGCGGGCTGTAGCGCCCAGTGGTGGCTACCACCACGCGGGCCTGTTCCTGGTATCCTCAGAACTGCTTCAGAAACATGAACCCCAGGGAGGGCGGGAGGGAGGGTGTCTGCAGAGGAGCAGTGGGCTCCAGGCAGCAGGAGGGTGGAAGCAGAACGTAGCTTTGCAGCTACGCGGCTGCACAAAAAGACCGGCTCTCCGGAGTCCCCGTTAGGGCTTCCGTTTTAATGATTCCATCAGCATATTTCTCCAAAGGCTTAAAACAGTCAAATGCATTCCACTCTCAAAATAAAGCTTTACTTCTCTTGATAGAAAAACAATTTAAAGTGAGGCATGACAGCTTTTATTCCACTTCATTTATTAGCTTCTAATTAAATAAAAACCAGCAACAGAAATTAAAATCTAAATCACAAAAGTAATCATCCAGTGTATTTCAAGTGCATTTCTCAAATATATAATTCCGATCTTCCAGCGTCTTTATATAAGCCGACTTCGGATTTCTTTGAATATATTTAAATAACATTTCAAGTATACTCATGGAATGTTAGGGACGCGACAAGCCACGTATCTGAGACACAATGTAAACTTTTTCTTTGAGGCCCAGACACTTCCGCAGACAGATACAAGGACCCGGAGGGAAAGCTACCTTCACGGGACCTTTGTTCGCGGGGGGAAGGTCTGGAGTTCCCCAAGGGCAACGTCACCAAATCACAAAACACCAACAGCCACACTTTCAAACACAACGTGCGCGCACAGGATTCGTTACAAACCGAAATATACATTACGCGTTCCTTCCGCTGACCTCTGGGAGCCGTGCGGCCTCGCAGCTGGGCCGGGCCCGGGACCCGGTCATCCTCCGACAGTTAGGCCGTCCTCAGGCGGGTCTTGCAAGGAGTCGCTGGGGAGGAAGGCTGGCGAGGCTCCTGGGTTCGCGTCTTTCCCCCAGCGCGCCCTCCGCGGCTTCTCGGCCCCTTGGAGGTGCCGCCGCCGCCGGCGCCCGGCGGTGCCCCTTTCGAAGGAAGGGATGGCTCGCGAGGGCAAGTTGGGGGGCAGCTGGGACGGAGCAGGAGGGGTCCCCGGGTCGGGGCGCCGCGCCGGCGGCCTCTAAAGTTTTTCCAAACTCTTGGGGTTGGTGAGGATCTCGCGCGCCAGGCGCCACGTCTGTTTGGCGGCGTTCTCCAGCGCCGAGTGCGGCTTGCCCTGGAAGAGGTCGAGGTTGGGGAGGAAGTAGTGGGGACAGCGGCGACACTGCAGGCAGGAGATGAGCTGCAGCAAGATGCCGTTGAGCCGGTCGCCCAGGCAGGCCTCGTCCCAGTCCGCCTCGCGCGGGTGCTTCTCGCACTCGTAGGACACCAGCGTCTTCATGTGGTAGCTGTTGAGGGGCTGGCCCGGCAGCTCCAGGTGGCGGTCGCGCAGGGCCTTGAGGATGGACAGGCACTTCTTGCGGCAGCCGCCCATCTGCAGTCTGTTCTCGGCCTCGGCGAACTGCAGCACCCAGGCGTCGCTCTCGGCCGAGCTCTGCTTGCCGGCCAGCGAGTGGCACTCCTTGGACAGGAGGTTGAAGCCTTCGGCCTTGACCTCGGCCACCCGGTTGGGGCCCGGCCAGGGGATGTGCGGCAGCGGCCAGTGGGCCGCGCTGCGCGGCCAGATGCCGGTGCACTTGAAGGCCGGCGTGATCTGCACCACGTAGCGGTCGCGGATGCGCAGCCTCACTTCGCTGGTGTCGGCCACCATCTTCACCACGTCGCGGTAGCTGCACTTGTCCACCGCCTGGGCCACGAGCGTCTGGAAGCGCGAGCGGATCTTCCGCGCCGAGAGGTAGCCGGAGGCGGTGATGAACTCCACCCAGAGCGACATGCTCCGCTTGCGCCCGTCGCTGAGCTTGAGCACCGCGCAGCCGGGCAGCGAGCCGTCGTCCACGAAGTTGAAGACGCCCATCTGGTTGAGGTAGAGCACCACCTCGAACTCGGTGGGGGACACGACCTCCAGGCCCTCGTAGCGGTTGTCCATCTCGTTGAGCGAGCTGATGAAGCGGGGCTCCTGCACCTCCACCTCCTTGAGCACGTCTGACACCACCTTGCAGACCTCGCGGATGGTCTTGGCGACGGCCGCCTTGCGGGCCTGGCACTTCTCGTTGTAGTACTTGTTGAGGTGGTAGACGAGCTTGGCCTGCGCCGCGATCATGTTGGGGCAGAGATCCGGATTGTACACCGGAGTCTCGCAGTAGGCCGTGGGATCCAATGCGGCTGCGAGCGCTGGCGCCAACTTCGGGGCAGAATGGGGCCGCGGCGCGCGCTCCGAGCGGCCAGGGCGCTCGCTGTGTGCGCCCGCGGCTCCCGGGGCCGGCCGCCCTGCTTCCAGCCGGTCTCCAGGGAGAGCTCGCGCGCCCCTCTCGCCGCCGCCTCTCTCTCTCCCTCTGACAGAATCCCGGGCTCTGGGGCGAGAGAGAGCGCGCGCGAGAGAGAGAGCCCCTTCCCGGAAACCAAAGGCAAAGTTGCGCGGGGACACCGCCAAGCTGCTCCGGCGGCCGCCCCGCGCGCCCCTGTCACCCTTTATTTCAGCGCCCCTGGAAGCATGGTGTGTGCAGGACTGGTCAGCGGCCAGGGGCGCAGTGTGCCGGGTGCGTGTCGGGGTGAGTGTGCGTGTCTGTGTCAGGGGCGATGCTGTGGATTTGCTAAGAGCCCAGAGGCTCTCGTGTGCAAATTATAAAGGCAGGGCCAGGCAGGCGGGCGGCCAATCGCCTGTGCGCTCGTCAGGACCGACGCCTGCAGCCCGGACCCGCTCGTTAATCCCCCTTCCGAGCAGCCACACAGACCCGAGGTAGGAGGCTGCTGCCGCAGGAAACGGCCCTGGCCCCCTCGGCGGGCCGGGAATGCAGGGGCAGCGGCCGGCGTCGGCGTCACCGCCCGCACACTGACGTTTCCAGAAGGCTGGGCAGAGCCCTTCCCGCCCTGCTCGGCTGCAAACCCCGGGAGTCTGGTTTTACCGGCAAATACAGGTGTCGCGGAGGCGCTGCACCAGGTAGCGCCGGGCCGGCCTTTCTCCAACCGAGACCCTGACTCGCACTCAGAGGGGAGTCAAAGTCCTCGGGTCTCTTCTGGTGGCGCAGGTGCAAAGTTGGCTTGTTCCTCGGGGGAGAGTCTACGGCGCATGGCCACTTGGGTTTAACTGGACCGATGCCTGACTCTCTTTTTGTGCTGGCCGTTTCTACACCGTTGCAATGGTTTTTGTCTTGAAAGTTAGGCAGGTAATGGGCTCGCTTTTGCCTGGGCTCCTTCCCCGTTTGGCAGTTGTCAGAAGGAATGTGGAATGTAGCTAGCCTGCTGGGTTCCGGGATCTCCACCCACCTGAATGAGGTTTACAAACAGCTTAGCACACCCGCCTCTTTGCACCTGGGCGGACCTGCCCGCACCGCCCCGCGGACCTGAGCAGTCCCTGCGCCTGCAGAGATGTTGGGGCAGCCTGGTCTTCCCCAGCGGGGAAACTGCCCCCGACTTTGTGAAGAGCTGTAGTTTAGCATGCAGGACTCAGGAAGCCGGCAGACCTTGCAGACCCCCACTGGGTGGTGCGCAGGCTTGGGGTTGGGGTGTCCTTACCGGTGTGCAACCGAGGGT